GAGAAATGGAAATCAAAACTCGTGGAGATCTTACGAAAATCCCTTCAGTCATGGAAATCGCGATATAGTAAAAATTATAGTCCACACACAAAAAAAAAAAAAAAAAAAAAAAAAAAAAAAAAAAAAAAAAAAAAGCTATCAAATCGAACATTAAAAAAATATTTACATCTTAAACATTAAATGGCCCCCAAATCGTTCTAAAAATGGGTAAACACCCTCTGTATTGTGCATATATTTTGTAATTTCGTGCGATTCTTTTTTTTTTTTATTATTATTTTTTTAAGTTTATATTTTACTTTGTACTCATTTTCCCCACTTCACTTTGATCTCATTTATTTCCTATATTTAGCCTTCACACTCAGGCTTCAGCCCTGATGTGATTTACTCTGAATCTTTATTCAATACTCTGTATCATTTCATGTTGAAGATTGGCAAGAAGCCATTCTTTGTTCTTTTCTCACGAGCTACTCATTTTACGGGATTATTTTCGTTTTGCGATTTTGCGTTGAATCACTATAAATGTCCGTTTCACTTTTCAAACTGTTGCCACCAAATGTTAGAGTCCTGCATCATATTTGAAGAAATTAAATAATGAAAAATCTGCATAAATGTATGTATATTTCTTGCATTGTGATAAAATAACGGTACATAGAGCCATCGAATTTTGAATGACGTAATTCTCCTACGAATATGGGCATGTGGAAGCCCACACTTGAAATTTGACATTTGTTTTATTACAGATTTCATATTATGTAAAACTTTAAAGAATTTTTGACTAACAAACTCAAGGAGTTCAAAGCGAGCCATGGCAACGCTAACGTTGTACAGAAAAAAACTTTTTCATCTCCAACGCGTGAGTTTCTGTATCGGAAATTCTAAAGATATGCTCATTTTAAAACTATTTTGCGATATTGCTGTTGAACTGAATTTTATGGTTTAAATGCGAAGAGCGTGATATTGAATAAATAAATGTAACAGATAAAATGTTAAAAAAACACCCCTTTGGACGTAATTTAAAATCGGGAACCTTGCAGATTTTTTTAAAATTTCTTTTATTTTATGTTTTTTGAAAATTAGGCTGCAATATAGAATTACTTCCGGTGGTTACATGCAAAGATGGTTTCTATAATTTACACGAATATTTAATTATTAAAATATGTTCGCCTGTTTCCAACGATCTTGGAATCATAAACAGAACTAAAAATGTGAGATTTCGATGGGTATTCAAAAACATTTTTTTGTAGAGGTCAGTGAGACAAATTACGTGTTGAATGTTACTGTTTATAATATAATTTTGAACTATCTAAGAAATAGTTGAAAACATACCTCCAGTTTGTCATGCAAGTTGTTTTATTGAATATGAAGAGAGATTTTGCAATTCTAAGACCAGTGTTGTGAAACGGAGTTTAGAAGCACAAGGGAAATTTTAAAAATTTACGTGCATGGTATTTTTCCATAGACCATGAAGGTTGGCTGAAATTGCGCTAATCATTTCGATGAACATTTCGATGAACATCAATCTTTTTTACTCACTTAGAAAATCACCAAATATAAGTTAATAGCATAAACAAAACAAAACCTTAAATAACAACAACATAAACACAAACTTAAATATGAAATTAAACTTGCTCTAGTCACACCAGCGAGGTTTGGGAGGAACATATTGCTCTTTATTTAATTGGATACTTAACAGGTAAACGGGCTTATCGAAGATTAATCGAGGTTATGTAAAACCAAGGCAAAGATCTTGTAAGTGTGTTGTGACATCTCGCTTATAGATTATTGGCAATAAATCATACTATTTGGCATCAATTTTTGTTTTTCGTAAATAATCGACTGGTTCCAAAAAGTTCTAAAATTAGTTTAAAAGCTGAAACTGTGAAAAACATTTCAAACGGTAGAGTATCTAGATATTATTTGAGCAAATATGTGGAAGGAATGCATTCATGAATTTAGTTCAAGTTTAATCGTTTTATTCATCAAGTCAGTTTAGAATTCTCAACCCCAGAAATTCTGTAATTTTGAAATGAATCACTGTATTTTTGGTCCCTATGAAAAGCAGATGGCATGGCAAAGGTCCAAGGTTGAGATTGAGCTGACAAATTTTATTTCCAAAGTAAAACATATTAGGAGTAACTAGGTGACTAACTAGGTATATAGGATGTATTAGGACTCAGGATATTAAAAATGCTGGTAGTAATCAAATGATCTAAACTGTATGAGGGCTCCTGATGTTAGACACTTGCTTTTGATACCTAGTAAAATGGACAAGTTTACGTATTTAAACTCTCTGAATAAGAATTTTGAAATGAAATTTAAAAAATGGTCATATTGTCAAATTTTTAACTGTGCCATTATAATGATCTAAAACACAGTTCTCATATTTCTAGATATGGATTACGGAACAGTCTTCAATATTCTTGCATAAAATCCAGATCCTTTGAGAACGTAAAGATCATTTGAAAAACACAATTTATGCAATTGGAACATTCCATAAACATAACCTAAGAATGAGATTCAACATAGAATGACCAAAAGAGAGCCAATATTTGTGAAAAAGTTAACAAAAGCAATGCCGAACAGACTAAGAGGCATCAGGCAATTGTAAAAGAAATTCAGTTTGATACTATGTTTAAATGTTTTAAATAATTTATGTCACTGCCGTCCAAATATCGTTTTACTCTTACATTTCTCTTTGAAGACAAAATATTACAGTTCATAATATTTTATAATTGGATCTATGTTTAAGCTTTACATGTCTTTTCAGCCCTAAAATAATTTTGTTACGGAAAGATTTAGTTCATAAAATTTCATAGACAGACATTTGTGTCTGAATACTATCAGTTTTCATGTATTTTGCCAATACCACAGAAAAACATTCTTACAATCCTTCAGTAATGGCGATATACTTCTTAACATACGGGAATTTCCAGTTGAGTATATGTCAAAATATTTGTATGAATTTTTCATTATATGGTAAAGCTTTAGCCTAGTATTTATAGTAATTACTAAAAAAAATTAAAGGTTGTATTACAAATCAGGATCTAATTCAAACTAAGAAGGTTTAGAAAGAGCAAACATGTGAAAATAAGCCATCAATTTAAAACATTCCAGTTAGCTTATATATTACAATAAAGCACTCGAGGAAGAAAAGTCCTTGAGTAAGGTTATTTCATTAAAATAAATTGTCTCGTAGTGATGCAAACTCAAACTCATTTCATTCGTGGAACTAAGATGAAGTAAGTGATCAATACTTTCAAGTTAAGATTTGATATATATTATAATAGGTAAAACCACCGAAAGGAAACGATTTTTCCTCTGAATAATTACAGGTAAAGCAACTGAATATTGTCTAATGGATAGATGCTTCCTCAACTAATTTCTAAGAGAGGCTACTTCATTTGTTATGAATGGGAAAAACCGTATGCAACTAAACCATTTATCCAATACGAAGCAAACATGGGTCGATGAACCAAGAATACCTGAATTCACGAAAAGAAATGATTTAGCATTCAGTAATCAAAACGTTGCCAGAATATGAATTTACAAGTTTAATAATTTGATTAACCCAGTCAAAAACAAACACAAAATTTATGAAAACAGAGTAAAAGAAATTACAGAATTTTAGAAATAACTAGAATAATTCAGAATTAGAATTTTCAGAATAAAATGATTGAGGAAATTCCCTTTAAAAATACATAATTTCGATTTTAACTTGCATGGATATTTTAAAAATTCATAGCACAAATAATTTTATGCATTTATTCCCAAATAAAGGTATAACAGATACTCAGCGTTTCATTTATCATTTAAACGTAATGAGAAATAAGTCATTGTAAATTTTTATAATTTTATCAATATTTATATTCTAGTCCAGCTCCAAAATTTGCACGCCCTAGGTGGTCAGTATGGCTTGATGTTTGTTGTAGCTAAATAAAGATACAAAGCGAAATACATCTTTAACTCCCGTTTGTATAAAAGGCCATCTAAAAATAGACGCTCTTAGGTGGTTGCCTTTGTCTTCTATGCTTAAAGTCGACCCTGTTTACAAGATTAATCGTTTAACTCCTTAAAAGCTGAACATTTTACAACTCGTAAAAAAAGCCATTAAAATATGTATGTTCTTCCAGAAGGGACACGATGACTCTCCGAGGAAAACTGACTCCGTTACGTGTGAGGAAACCAGCCTGTTCACCTAGGTTGGAACCCAAACCAGGTCGAACTACCAGTATTCAGCTGTCTTGAACCACTCGGCCACTGATAGAGCAGCTATGTGATCGAAGTGAAAACAAACGGAATATTACTTGAAGCTTAGTAATTAGGCTTTTACATTTGTTATATAATGCATTCGATAAATTCGATTACTGCATTCGAAAAGCAAAGAACAAAAAGAGGCACAACGTAAATCAATAACTATTATAACTATTTTACGTTGTGCCTCTTTTTGTTCAATAACTAGTTATTATAGTTATTTATTTATAATTAATAATTATTTGTTATTTATACTTCTAACGAAGTGTCAAATCCTAGTCTTTATGTTTCTCAGTTTAATATAAGCATCGTAATAAGTCGTATAAAATTACGCTTTCCACGATTTCTTTTTCATTATACTTATATTAGATTTAAACGAAAAAGTATGTTCACAACAATTTAGATATTCACCAAATATGCACGTCACCATCATATATCATACATAAAACAACTGAGTCACAAAACTGATGTATTCTTCAACTCATCTAATAAGTGTCTAGCCAAGCAAAGTGACGTGTACTGCGCAGTCGTTAAAGAGTTGGAACAATTTTTACAAATTCAACAGGCTAAGAAAAAGAGGGTTTATACCAGCACTGCGGTAAATTACGAAATATAAAGTCGCAACTGATGCAGTAAAATTGTTAAATATTTCAGCGAATGATCACGTTAAGACTTTTGCTTCAGAAAGAGATTCCGAACATACGGTGACGAAATTAATAGTGGTAAGATAAACTTTCTAAAGTACTCACATCGGGGTTGGATTCGAGGGGGAGCCATTTCTTATCGCAAGCCATATTCGAAGTTGACGACACACCCGTGAGAACTGACCACGAGAGAGCGACGGGGAGAGCGGACTTTTCCTCGGTTGTTCCAATCGTTACCTGCGACTCGCAGCGCCCTCGACGAAGGAAGCACCGAATTACAACTTTTCCAGGAAAATTCAATGAACGCCCGAGTGATTATTTATTCTTTTTTAAAGTTAATTGTAAAGCTGAATGTAACGAAGTAAATTTACATTTAGTAATGTTAAACATGACAGATATCACAAAAATATTTTTTTTCCGAATTTATTAGCAATATTTCATGTTTTATTAATTCTTTCTTATTTTATGTGCAAATATTTATACAGCTTAACTCGGAGTACTCAAAGTAGTTGCTTATCTTCATCGAAGCGGCTATTATGCGGCTAAATCTACGAAACACTGATAATTAGCTCTGATTTCTGTTACTGATGGTTGAACTGGCTAGCTGCATGGGGTTTTCATGGTTCTCCTCATGTAGAAATGCAAGCATTTGTCATTTTCTCTTTAAAACTCTTACGCGAAAGAAAAGTTCCGTACGATTGCTTTATGCAGAACCTAATAAAATTGGACAGCTTGGAATAAACATATGACGTGAGAAATTTTTATTCATTTAAATGGATTTCTCAAACTCCTTCTAATCCATAATAAAAACTTCATACTTGTCATTAAATTACGAAATTTTTGAAGTCAATTAAAAAAGGACAGAAGTTGAATGCATTGCTTAGCTTTAATCAGAGACTTTCACGATACTGTATATACTAAAAAGTAGTAATAGTAAAATTTAGACAGAGTACATTTTACAGGCTTCAAATTTTACAGTCTAAAACTGTCTATTCTTTCTAGCAAATATTAAATATTCATATATAGAATCCAATGTATACCATAGAAATAGCAATAAAAAACGTGAAAAAAGTTTTCTCACATCGCATACCCGCAAGCTCATTTCTTTTTCTGTCGGGGTGGGGGAGTGTAATGCATAAAAGACTCTATGCTGTTTATTTTTCATCTATCAGACCACTAGAATCAAACACAAGATGAAAATTTAAATTGTAGAGACATTAGGTTACTTCGAAGCAGGAGATGGTAAAAATGAGCACTGCCCTCGCTGGAACTCGAACCACGGACCTCTCGAATATGCGACGAGCGTGCTGACCACTACACTACGAAGGCATGCTAAGAAGACCGGAGAAACCTTATAAAGTTCGTAAAAGTTCCTTAAGAACAACGGGACCAAAAGGTCACAATTAACAAAAAGAATGTATTTTCTCCGTATCGAAATGGTTGTCCGTTTTTGCATACATTATTTGTATTGAAAGGATTCTTCCATCTTAAAAGTTTTTTCCTGTTGTGTCATTAATTTCAAAGCGTAAGTATAATTTATTAAGTACGATACAACTATATGAGTATAATAAATATTTATTTAACTTTTATTTTATTCATATTACCTGCTATTTAATTTTTTAAAACTATTAATTGCTTCATGGGCTGCATTAATTGATTCTCTGGCATAAGTAATGAAATCCGGGAGCGTGTTTTGAGATCAAAGCACTGCCTTTTTCATGCGTTATTATCTTCTAATTCAGATTTTATGGTACTTGAAACACGTTTCACTATACGTTCTTTTTTTATTCTTTACATCACTGTCAGTGACAAGGCTTCTAATGAAGTACGTTTGCGAAGAGGGTCCTTCCTGATTTTTTCCAAAATCTCTTCACGCCCTTTGCGTCGAGGACCATTATGCCCCTGTAATTTTTCCTCATCGTACGCGGATTCTCCTTTTCCATAGCAGCGTTTGACTTGTTGCCATATCCGAGAAACAATTTTGGTTGACTCATTATAAGGTATTTCTCCGACCTTCTTGGCATGCCTTCAGGGTGTGGTGATCTGTACGCTGGGCGCGTATTCCAGAGATATGCGGTTCGATTCCAGGCGAAGGCGTTGCTAATTTTTCATCTCGCCTTCTTCCAAAAAAATCCTAATGCCTCTACAACATGATGATTTTTACGAATAGCCGCAATGATATCCTGCTTAGGTTTTTCATTTTAAAATTTCTCAATCACTCCCGTAGAATCACATTTCTATCTTCTCAAATTGCATTAAAATGTTAATAGTTTAGTAAATCCTAGTCTAATCTTTAGGTTTCTCATTAAAAAAAATGGCTTTGTAAAAAGGAGTGAAAATACATTTACATATAGTATCAAAATTCTATCTCATTAATCCAACACATATTTACAAATAAGATAATCATTTCAATACTGACGGAGTAATAAAGTGTACGTGCATTAAATTTAAGCCATATTTTCATTTTCCGAAACCATAAGCTATTTTATATCACCAAAAAATGCATTAAATTTTCAAAGAAATTATTTTAATTCTATAAAATATTGTCAAATGGAAAGAACAAATTTATTAACTGTGTCATCCAGATAGATACTATAGAATAATTGTTTTAAATCAAAAGTAAAATTGGAAGTTTCAAGGATTTTCTAATGGAATTCTTTAAAAAAAATTAAGATGCAAAAGAGATCTTAAACAATATATTTATGATAATTATCTATTCGAAAGAAAGCTGGAACAAATCTACTTTGAGATTCTAATACAAATAAAATAAAATGGGATTCGCATAATTTTTGCAGTAGTAGTTGTAGTTAGTGTAAAATTGTAACAAAAACCTTTGATTAAAAAAAAAAAAAAAAAAACTATAAATTTTAAAGTAATTAAGTTAACTATAGTAAAAGTTAAAAGGAACGGAAGCTTCCGTGACACAGCATAAAATATCATGCAACGTTGAAGTCGTCGTAATTTTATATGGTAGCTGCTATCAAAATTACTGAAACTTTCATAGCCTCTAATGGCATATACAAAATTTTAATTTTAAAAGTTGTTCGTTCATGTCAGATATCATCTAAGGTATTGGTATGCATATTTAGATAATTCCTATTTATTTTAGTGTACATCTCATAAATAGGTTATCATTGAAATTAAATTCTATATGCAATGAGATGCCAGCTATTATTACATTAATATAGTTAATAAAATTCTAATTGCAGAAATCGCTTTGAGAAACAATCAAAGAGTTCTATTTAGAGCACAAGTTCTATTTAGAGCACAAGTTCTATTTAGAGCTTTCGGTGATATAAAAAAACTTTAATTAGATTCATCTGGATCGAAGACGATCTATCGACATGCATTTGCATAGCGCGGTAAAACTTGCCTAAACTATTTAACTAACTTGTAATATGTAGTTAACTAGGAAGAACGCAGCAAAATATGCCAGTATACAGAAAGATAAAATTCCTAGGACCAACTCCGATCTGGAATTATTAGTAACTTTGTCCTTCTTAGATTTATGTAGATACATTTTAGATTAGGTTTTAACTTAACAATTGGCAAAAACATCTGAAGTCTGCCTCCTAAGGAGGATACTTTACTATAGAGAGAATGTTCCTTTTTTAAACAGAGCACTTTATTTGCGCTGTTAATAATGAAAAATGCAAAAGTATTCAAGCAGCAATCCTTTTCCTCTAAGATTGGAGCCCCGGAAGAAATTACCAATACCTTAGATGCTTCGTTGCTGGAAGGCTTAAGTAAACGAGAAGAAATTATCAAAAGAATCTAAAGCCCTTCCCACATTATAATTCAAAGTAGCAGTCAAATTTCTTATAACTTCATTCACATTTCATTTTCATGTTAATATTTTTCGAAAATTATTCACTTCGAAAACTATGGCTGTAGTTTTCCTGGTGCTAAAGAAATCGTAATAAGAAACCGGTAAAAAAATAAGTCCTGACTTAAATAGCTTCTTTTTCTTCAGCACTTCAGTGTTTTCTTTATACTTATGATTTAAACAAGAAATTATTTAGAAGCCATTAGCCTTACTTCTTCAACTACAACACGAATTCTTTTGGCACTGATTTGTTTCTGTCTAATTCATTCAAGCGTACGATTTTCTTTCTTAATCTATATAACATGACGTGTTCGGAGGCCTTAGTCGGAGCGGAATGCTACTTCTTTCTATAGACTTCAATATTCGAAGCTTCTTTAAATTTTATTGGGACTGAGACCTCGTCAGCTACTTGGAGGAGCGTTATACTACAAGAATTTTAATTGCTCTTATAAGGTTATTACCTGCTCTTCCAACTGCAAACAGAATCGTTCTTTCTCTGTCAGTACGGTGCGAAATCTGGAAGCAACACGTTGTAATGCCTTGCACTCAGCAGCGTTAAGTCTTTACTAACTTTGGCGAAAAGATATTATTGATTATAAAACTAGTTTATCGAGGCAATTCTGGACACGGAGGAATAAGGAGTCAACATAGTTATCTCAGAAGATGGGTCTTGTATATAAGAAATGGAGCTTACATAGCCATCAGGGAAAAGCGAATTATTTAAACTCATATTAATAAATTAATATCAGGTTCACTAAACTGAAACAGATGCTTACGAATACAGCACTGGACACATAAGGTATCAAGTAGAACAACATACTAGAACTAAATTCATATTGTACGGTACCATTGTTAACTTAAATGTAAATTAAGTTAAATAAAAAGAAGCACTTGCTATACACAATCAAGGAGGAAGGGATAGACGACAAATCAAAATTTACCTTCATATTTTTTCATTATTTTCAAAATCTCTCATCCAATACCAGATTAGCAGACGAACTTATAGGACAGTGATGGCGAACCTATGGCACGCGTGTCACAGTCGGCACGCAGAGCCTCATCAGCCGGCATGCGACTTAAATATTACTTCCTTAAACAATAATCACATTAAAGTGGTACTATATCATTTAAATGTGTTTTAGTCTGTTCTTGAACGTTTCACTTGCTTACTTCTCGCCTAATAAGGGATAGGGTTTAGGCTCCACTGGCATAGGGCCTAAGCCTAGATATAATATTTTCATATATCGCCATAGAAATAATGTACATATTTATTGATGAAATTTATGACGGTTCAGTTGTTTGAGCCAATCATATTAGGTTGTCTGGAAAATAATGCAGGTTTGTAACCTATATCTTTAAAGTATCATAACTCAACTCAAAAACAATTTTATTAATCAAAATAAGCAGCAGAC